TTAGATATTTAAATGGTCTTGTCCATTGTCATGGAATTACAAAGAATCCAGACGGAAAAGATCATATGTTAGTATTTGATTATTTATCTAATGGTAGCTTGCACAATTTTTTATTAAAAAATTTTAAAGAATTTACTTGGCAAGATAAAATTAGTTCACTTCATTTTGTATCATTTGGGTGAGTTTTTTTGTTGTTTAATTTTTCAAAAAGACATAGAATTTTAAAATTGTATTCTTATTAATATAACTAGATTAAAAAACATCCACAATGAAAATTATGTTCATCGCGATTTACATAGTGGTAATATTTTTTCAGCATCCGTTAATGGTCATATTAATGGTGGCTTAATAGGAGATTTGGGGTTATGTCAACAAGTTGTCGAGAAAGATCATCCAGGTGTGGTTTTTGGAGTAATGCCATATTTGGCTCCTGAAGTATTATTATGTAAACCATATACACAAAAATCAGACATTTATAGTTTTGGTATGGTCATGTGGGAATATACAAAAGGTAAAAAACCATTCAATGATAGACCACATAATGAGGATTTAAGAATGAATCTTTTGAATGGGTTGAGGCCCGAAATTACAGTAGATACACCTAAATTTTATGCCGAACTAATGAAAAGATGTTGGGATCATGATCCTGAAATGAGACCTACTGCTCAAGAAATTCAAGATTTTTTATATAAACTTACTAACGAAGCTTCTGAAGAAGATAAAGAAATCATTGAATTAGCAGAATCTAGAAGGCAAGAGATAATTAGATCAGGAAAGTATTTATATGATGAAACAAGCTCTAAATATCATCCAGGAGCATTCTATATAAGTCGTCCATTAAGCAGTTCAACTCAACAACCAAATGACAATAATTTGGTATCAACTCGGAAATCTTCAATTGGATGTGTTTTAAATGATGATGATGTGTTTATGCCAAAATCTTAAATAATTAAAAGATTTCATTAGAAATCGTTGAACTTTTATTTATATTCAAGTATTAATATATTATTATTTATTATAATTTTCGATTCTTTATTTATTTTTTTACAAGATTTTATTATTGAAAAATTTCTACCTAAAGGTCTTTAAAACAAAGATAATCAGTGGTTTATGACCAATTAGTGACACATAACAGTGGTTCTTGTTCATGATGATAAAATTATTATAATAAACTAGATACGGACCAACATTGATAATATAAAACTTTTGTTCCCAGACATTTTGATGAAGGTGGACATGTTAATATACGCGAATGATAAGCAAAATATAAAGTTACATTTTGAAACAAACAAGTAGCATAAATGTTGATATAAAATCTGTTACTACAATAGAGATTTTTCTTGTAATGTTTACATGTTGAACGCATTTATATCTTTTAATAAATGAAATATATAATTTTGCAAGTTAGCCTTGATGTACTTTGAGGATTGCTAAAACAAATAAAGCAAGCAAGCTTCTTTTTGTCGTAAAGACATAAAATTGCAGCTCCATAATTTTAATCAATTCAATTGAAACAAAGAAAGCAATAATTATCATCTTCACAATGAAAAACATCATTGAAATGCATAGACATCCCAACAATGGCCTTTTAATCAAGCAAGGTGTTAAATAATAAGATTTTTACTTTAAAAAATTTTATCTATACATTAAATAATATTGATATTTGAAAAAAAAAACTACATTCTAATTTTGTTTATTTGATTTATTAAATTTTTTGCATTCTGGCTGATTTGTTCATGTCTCCTAACGCTGTATGCCTTTAAAATGGAAATTACCTAAATTAAGCAAAGCAAACTCATTACCATTTTCAGCAGATAATTGTAAATATTTCTTAAATTCTTTAAGGTTTGCTACTTTGTCTTTATTGTAAATGAGGAATGCATAATTATATTGAGCCTTGGCTATGCCATGGTCAGCTGCAATCTTATGCAATTCGATTGCCTTTTCTATATCTTTTTGACTAGGTTTTCCTGTTTCATTTGCTTTTCCTGTTTCTAAATAATATGCTTTCCAATAAATCGCATTATGATTATTGAGTTCAGCATTCTCACAAAAACATTTCCATGCCTTTTCATAGTCCTTTTCTTTATGAGCCTTCACCCCTTCATCTAATGGTATGGGAGATTCAAAAAATTTTTTTCTAATTCCAACTACTTCAAAATCCGAGTCCTCATCAATATTATAATGCTGAATTTCATCACTTGAAACTTCATCTTTAGCAATAAATTTGGCTACATATTTAATACTTTCAAAACTTTTCCACAATTCTGCCAATTCATCTGTTATTTCAGCAAAAGATGGACGGCTATATGGTGAATGTTCCCAGGCTAATAATAATGAACAAATAATTATAAATCATTAAAAAGTTTATTAATGTAATGATTTTTACTTTTGCCATCATTTACCTCTATTAATAATTTGAATTAAAACTTGCTGAATTTCTGTATTGTGCACTCCAATCTTTATAGATTCTCTTTGACCACTTAGGACATGATCACTAATACTAGTTACATTCATTTCATTATATGGAATTTGTTGATAAGCAAGCTCCCAAAGAAACATTCCAAAGCTAAATGAATGAACAAATTAATAAATTCAGTTGATAGATTTTTATTCAAAACATTTCTATCTATATTTACCTAAACATTTCACAATAAAGATTATAACGTTGAGTCTTTGATCCCATCTTTTCAGGAGCCATCCAACGAATATAATCATTTAAATCTGATAATATTGTAGTTTCACCAGATAAATTACGACTAAGCTCAAAATTTGAAACTTTTGCACTTCCATTCTCATCGATCTAAAAAGAGTACATGTTGATATGCTTTAATCATACTAATAATATTTTACAAAATAAACATAAATAAAACCTACTAATATATTTTCACATTTAACATCGTGATGTAAAATTTCACCATTATGCATAAATAAAAGTCCTCTAATGACATCATATGAAATTTTTAATTTTGTAACCCAGTCAATGTAATGAGTATTGTACAAATCTTTTAAATTGCCCTTTTCAGCCCAGCCAAATATCAAAGCATTATGAGAATTTACATTGGAGATACCATAAAATTTAATGATATATTTACATTGAATAGCATTTAGTATTGCAAGTTTTGCTTGAAATTTTTTTGATTCAGAGGTACCATCATCCTTTGGATAATGTAGAATAGTTTTACATGCCACCTCAACTGTTTTTCTAAGTATTTTTTTAACAACCCTTTTATTTGCACCTCTTACATCTGTATCCTTTCTGTGACTTAATTTTACATCATCTATATTCCTGGGATCAATTTATGCCAATTTCACTATAGGATTAAGTTCCAAATTGTCAGATGACACATATTTAGATAAGTTTTTTATTAAAACTAATTCACTATTCTGCATTGTTGTTTCCAAATTCTAAACAAAATATTTAGATATATATATATATAAATATTTTTAAATGCATTTATAAAAAAATAAAAAAATTGATATCATTTACTTTATACCTCAAATTTTT